CGAGTCACGTAGTCTCTGTGCCTTCGCACAGCTCAGTGGGTTTCCAGTGGTAAATGGTCGTTTCACCTACAAACCAGAAGGCTGTTTCATTGGGTCACCAGGAAGCCCATGCTAAAATTACAGCCTCAGGCTTCCGGTCCTGCCTGGGGCAGCATTAGCACCTAGGGAAGGCAGATGGTAATTACAAGAACTTTTCCAGTTCCTTTTGTCTCACGTCAGCCCCAGTGCGACAATGCCGCACCTTCCTCCCACCGCCCGGGAAGGGAAGATTTACTGCTGGGGCAGGCGTCCCCTGCAGCAGCCGGTCTGCCCAGACCACTGACCCTGGTGCCTGGTTCCTGTTGTTCCTGATAATTAGCGAGTGGCTAAGGCCCGGAGGCGCTTTACCTCAGAAGAATTCTTTGCTTGCAGCACCATCTACAGGAGCCCTGGCTAGACTCTGCACTGACTCGGCCCAGAGCCTGGCGTTCGGCACAGCGCTGGCCATGGGTACACGTAGGGCCAAGGGACCCCATTCTCACTCACACCAGCAGGGCCGGCCCACAACATTTTGGCACCTGAGGCGGGGAGCTCAAATGACGCCCCCATGCCCCCTTGTAGACACAATTTTCTACACTCTGGGTCCTAGTGGTGCCCCCCACAGTCTGGCACCCGAGGCGGCTGCCTCAGTTCGCCTCCTGGTAAGGCCAGCCCTGCACACCAGTGCCTGACTCTCCCCCTGCGAGGGGACACTTGGGCCTGGTGTGTTTAGCGCATGCCCTGGGTTTCCAACGTTCAAAGGCGAGGCTCTGCAGTCGGGCAAAGCACTGCAGGTTCTCCGGGACAGCCAGTGGCAGTAAGTGCTCACCCGCCAGCCATCACCCGCCACCTTGGCTTTGAGCTGACACATGATTCAAGGCGCCATCTGCCTGTGGTCACGGGGGAGAGGGCACCACAGTATGTGTGAGCTTGGTTCCTCTCCCCTTCCTGCAAGCTGAAACTCACTCCACATCCGGCCTCTGGGCCTTGTCCCCTTCCTTTCACCCCACAGACAGAGCGGAGAGCCAGCTGATCAGGATGGTGCTGGGAGCTCGGCTCTGTAGGCAGAAGATCCCACCTGGTTGTGAGGTTCATGTTTCTTCTGTGCAAAACCAGCACAGCTGGGTGCGAACAAGTCTCGTGGGCCATTCCACCCATCCACCCACACACACGCTGCTGGAACAAAACCCCTAGCAGTGTGCAAGGGAATTATTTGAATTATCACAGCGCCTAGGAGATGGGCAAGGACCCCACTGTGCTAGGAGCTGTACAAACACAGAACAAAAAGTCAGGCTGCAGCTGCCCAGCGTCCCCCACGCTGTGCCTGGCCAGGCCTCATTCCCTCCTCTCCCGATTGCTGGTTTGTTGTTTCTGGTTTCCAAGTGAGCAGCTTGGGTGCTGCGTCCTGGTGAGAGCTGTGTACCCACTCTGTCCACAGGGAGCGCTCAGACACCCCCCTCTTCACCCGACGCTCTGCCCCGGACAGCCTGGCACGCGACAGCTGAGTGGCACTGGGAAGATTCAAAGACATGCTGGGGATGCTTTGTGGCGGGCGCAGGGAATGGGGGTGGGTGGGCAGGAGACAGGTTGCTAATCAAGAGAACTGGCCACTGGAAAGGGAAACGATTGCTACAAATGCAACGCCCGGCCTTTGTTCTTGTAAAGTCCCCCTGGCAGGACCTGGAGCCAATGAACGCTCCCCTAAGGACCTTTCAGAACCCCGTCACCAAACGGGGAAGGGAAAAGAGTGTCATTTATAAAGTAATCAGCCTGCCGCTGGACTCCAACACCTCTCTGCATGATCACCTGCAATGCAGCCTCTTTTCCGCATTCCTCAGGAATGGCGGTGCTGCCACCCTGCTTCCAAGCCAATCACATGGCCCAGAGGGCTTTAGAGAGGTACCGAATTGGAAAGCATGCCATGGATTGTCTGGAGTGCCGACAGGTCCCGGCAGGAGCTATACTAATCATTTGCAGGGCCAGATACCTGCCCTTTATCTGTATTGTATGTACAGTCACTTCTGCGCTTAAACTTGTCTTTTCTGTTTTAGACTGTGCACCAATCTGGCCTAGGGACTTGTCGGAGGAATCGAGTCCTTGCCCCTTGTGGTGCCGTTTATGTAGTGTAGCCACCACCGATGCTGCTGCTACCTCTGGAGTGAGTGAGTGTTGTATTCACGCGCGTTTCCAGCCACTTTGCACAGGCGGTAAGTTACTGCACAAGCTGCAAAGCACTGGAGAATCCGTCCTCACAGCCCCAGTCGAACACATGCAAAGGGGTAGGGCCAACAGCGCCCAACACCTCAATATGGGATTTAGAGTAAGCTCGGAGATGTCACTACCTGAATGTAACCTACAACACGGTCAAGTTGCATAGCTTCAGAACGTGACCTATTTAGAACAGAAACAGCTGGCAGGAATTCTAAACGGCTGGATATACAAAAAGGCAGTAGACTGTCCTTGAGACATTGAACAAAACCAAGGGCTGGGACGTGGATAAAAAAAGAAAAGAAATAAAAGGCATAAATATTGTATAGCATTTTATTTCCTAACGAGTTAATGGTGCAGAAAAACCAGCTAATGCTGGTTGTAGTTTTATGTTTGAAGCCAGACACCAAGCAACATCATCAGCAAAAAAATGAGGTTCAAACTAGGCTGTGAGTGATATTCAGCCGTATCACTGGGTTAATTGCCACTCATTAGTCTAGCTGCCAAATTTAGGTTTAAGAAAAAATAGTGTACAAAACCCAACATGAGTCCAAAAGGTTTTGTTCTGTTTTTTATTACTGCAACAGGTCTTTCCTCTTGTTTTAATGTCTGCCTGCAATGCTGTGAACCTAAACACTGCATCCCTGGGCTAGTGCAGTAGTGTAGGCCCAAGGGGGAAACATAACAAGGCCTTAGCCACGTTCCTTTCCCCGCTTAAACTACACCTGTTTTTGCCTCTCTGAATCTTACTTCTCTCCTCCATCTCCTCCTCTGATGGTAACAGAATGTGGGATGTAGTACGGTGCTTGCAGGGAATCTGCATGCTGTTTCTGAATGCTCAGTGTCAGCTGTGATGCAGTTTGTATCATCAGTCATGTTCAATTTTTTCCTTTGAAAGGCCTGAGTCTTTCTGATTAAGAATCATTTCTGCAGTCTAGCTGCTGCCTACAGGCAATACCCGTGCAAGCAAACAAAACAACACTTGGTGATGCGTTGCAGAAATGGTACAACCCTCGGTGCACAAACAGCACTTCCAGGTGCCATAAAATAGTGAGCACCACTAGGCTATACTTGAACTACAAAGAGCCTACCCAGGACCCATAGCTCAGGATGCTGAAATATTTAAAGGGATGCACAAAAGAATTACAAGAATGATTTGAGGTCTGAAAACAGGCCTTATGGTGAGCGCCTTAAGATGCTCACTTTAGTTTATCCAAGGGAAGGCTAACTAGTGACTTGATCACAGTCTACACGTAGCCTACTTGGGGAAGAGTCTGCTACTCGGCGATGGCTATTTAGCAGAAAAAGGCCTAACAACATTCAAGGGCTGGAAGCTGATGCTAGACAAATTCAGACTAGAAATATCCCCCAGTGTTTTAAAGGGCAGGGTGATTAACCATCAGAACAACTCACCTAGGGCTGTAGGGGATCCTTAAACACTTGCCATCTTTAAGTCGAGACTGGATATTTTTCTAACACATCTGCTGTAGCTCAACCACAAGTTATGGGCTTGATGTAGAAATGACTGGGTGATGTTCTCTGGCCTGCAATGCAGGTCAGATTAGATCAGTAGTTTTCAACCTTTTTACATTTGTGGACCCATAAAAAATTTCGACTGGAGACGTGAACCCCTTTGGAAATCTTAGACCTAATCTGTGGACCCCAAGGGTTCTACAAACCACAGGTTGAAAACCACAGGACAAAATGATCAGAATGGTCCCTTCTGCCCTGAAAAATCTAGGAAGAGACCTGGGAAGTAAAACCTGCCAGTCTCGTTTTATTGCCCCAAGTGAGTGAACTGCAAAATATAAACTACCCCCAATGCTGCTAAAAGGGACTTTAGGAAAAGCTCTGCTGGTTTGATCATCTCAGCTCTTACCAGAAGCGCAGGTGAGGGATTTCCTTTGAAACATGATTTTATTTAAATTGTTTAATACGAAGCACTGCTAGAGACAGAGTTCTAACCCCGAAGAAGTATCTGCCATATTGGAGAAGTTCCGGTCAGCGAGGGGAGGAAATTTCAATTCAAGTTTTCAGGCCATCATTTATAATCAGTGAAGAAGGGGATGTGCGTGTACGGTGGGGGGAGGAAGGGGAGGGAACCAGTTGGAAGCAGGGGAGGGATGCAGTTGCATTCTCTGGCTTGGGGCAGCACTGGAAGGGGCATTCTGCCAGGGACCCCAGGCAGCAGCCCAGTGTTTTGATAATAGGGATGGGAGCATCTTGACAATCTCCTTCTTTAGCCACAAAGGAGCCTGAGATGCACGTGCCCCTTTGGCCCCACGTGTGTGCAGGGGAGTGCAAGCCCGGCGTGTGCTATATCTAACTCGCCCTCAAATGCCTTTGTCAACTCTGCCCTCAGGGAGCCGGGTCTCAGTCCTGGAGCAGCTCTCATCTTCCTCCGCAGCGATTCAGTCTGAGGCGATGGGACGTTCCTAGACAGCATTGCATTTACACCAGCCATTTCTCGCTTCCCCCGGCCGCTATCCCAGGGCCTCGGTCAGCGAGGGGGGTTGCGGCTCAGGTGCCTCTCGGGGCCCGGCTTGAAACGCTGCTGTCTCCCGTCGCTGCAGCTCACCCAGCAGGCCCAGCACGTTGTCGGTGAATTCAGTCCGTTGCCTCCCCATCCCGCCTAGCTTCACCGGCTGGAGGCTGGGGTGGGGGGGCTCATACGGGAGAAGGCAGCAGATCTGGTTCAGCAGGAGCCAGGTGGCGTCAGGGTCCACACACATCAAATGGAGGAAAACGCTTCGGGGGGACGTGGGAAGAAAGGAAAGCAGAATCAGAGGAGGGGCTGTCTGATCTTCCCCCACCAGGGCTGGTGACAGGCTCGGCAATAAACAGGGCCATCAGATGGCTGCTGAGCCCGACAGAAACAGAGTTCAACCGTTTCACGGTTATTGGCAAGTGGCGGGAAACCTAGTCGCTATTCCCAGCAAAACGATATTAACGAACAAGCGTCGGTGACTAATGGGTCTCGGGGCCGGAGAGCTCCCAGCATGACAAGGGGAGGTGCTAACTCAGCTGCTGTGAACTGAAGTCAATGGCGCGATGGGAATTCACACCAGCTGAGCGCCTGGCCCAGTGAGCAGGCTAATCCCGGCCTGGTGTGAGCAGGCGCCAGTGGAGGGAGGTTGCTGGGAACACAGAGGACACGTGGATTAAGCCAAACAGCACTTTGAGTTTCCAAGAGGAAATGTGCTAATTTCTTGCTGCTGCTAGAGGGAGACGTTAGAAATAAGCCCACCCAGATGGGGCACAAACGCTGCTGAGTTGACTCGAGAATCCTGGACATGGCTTATGTGTTTGGTACGTCCTGGACCTGGTCTCTACCAACAACTAAACATCAGTTTAAAGAGAGCATGTGAGGTAAGGTGCAAAGGTACTACCTGGCCCCTGGAGAGCAAGGGGTTAACCCCTGCTCAGCTGCCCCCTCCCCTTGCACAGGTGCTTAGGAGCAAGGTGACAAGATGGCTGCTGGGGAAGGGAGAGCTGCAGAGCCTGCCCTAGAGGCCAGGGCTGACGGCTGGGTGGTGGTTCCAGGAGCTGAACACTTGTTGCTACAACCGTTCTCCCCCAAGGCAGAGACCTTGCTGGCTGCCTCTGAATTTTCCCAGCTACCTCCCACCTCTCAAGGGGCAGAAAACGGTAACAAACTTCATGTTACAGAAAAGTGGCAATTTTTTGTATGGCTCTTGCTGCTGTGGGCCTGGCGTCCATCTTGAAGTTGAATCTGAAAGGGGAGGCGGGCAGGGGAGTTAAGGTTGGTGTGGGAACCTTGCATGAGAATTTCTTGTGGGTTCAATGTCAGAGCCTCTGACATGGGAAGGAGATGCTGAGTGTGACCTGGGGGAGAGCAGAAGCTGCTGGGGCGTGAAGAGGCTATGGGTTCATTTGCATGAGTCCTTGTATTTATTTATTTCTTCTGTTAATTCCCCGGCTGTCAATCACTTTGGGTTTGACTTGGTTTGTCAGGATTTTGACGCATGGGAGGCAGATTGGGTTTAATTGGCACTAATCTCCATACCTGGGCCACAGGCGAGGCTAAAGGAAATGGGAATTGACATGCCATGTTGACAGCACCGTCTAAGGCCCTCCTCCTGCGAGGGGCTAAGCATGATCTATTCCTCGGAGAGTCCATGGCAATTGAAGGTGCCCAGCCTCTGGCAGGATTCAGGCCAGGGTTTTAGTGCTTAAAGAGGCAGAGAGACACCTAATGGGGATTTTCCCAAGAGCCTCTGTGCCCAATTCCCATTGAAACCAAAGGGAGTGAGACACTTCTGAAAATCACACTAGGTGACTACATGCTTCTTTAGGCCCCTCCAATACCTAAAAATCTGGCCTCAGCCCTTATGCCCTGATCGTGTAATGAGAGCTGCAGCC